AAGGTCCCTGATATTCCACAGGCAGGATTGTGACTCAGAGCCCCGCCATGATCTTAGCCCTTCCATGATCTTAGAGAAAAGGTCCCTGGTCCTCTTCACATAGGACAGGTCAGGAAAGGAAGACACCCAGGAAGAAATCTGGGTGGCAGCAGCCTCTATAGTCCACAGGGCAGACAGGGAAGGGAGGAGTGGGACTTCCATGCTGTCTTGGGGCCCCTTCCTGGGCCTCTGCTTTTTTTTAATATTTATTTTTTAGTTTTAGGTGGACACAATAACTTTATTATATTTTTATGTGGTGCTGAGAATCGAACCCAGTGCCTCACGCATGCCAGGCGAGCACACTACCACTTGAGCCACATCCCCAGCCCCCGGCCCGTGCTTTGATCTTATTCCCCATGTCATACAGTGAGTAACAATATTTGCTTCACATGGGCCATTCATGGTCCAGACTTATGTGAACAGCAAGCCCTAGTTCCTCTTCCAGAGATGGCATTCCACATCTCTTCCAGGGAAGTCTTTCCTACCTACCCAAGAAAACTGAACACTCTTGTCTGTCTCCGACGAGTTGTGTCCTGATGATTGGAATTCAGCAGCACTTGAGGACACATCCACACACACCAAGGCTGAGCCCCCAGCCTCACACCACCATCCACCCTGGCCCAGAGTCTGAGGCCTGCTTGGTCTGCTCAGGTTCTGGGTGAGTGGGCTCCAGCACACCCAGGAGCCTGGGGTCTGCAGGTGATTGAGCTGTACTACCATGCGCTATTTCAATCTCCTGGGTCTCAACTGGCCCTGTGCCCCCCCAGAGCCTGTCTGCCCAGCTCAGCCACCCATTGCCAAGGCCACATTTAAGACTTTTCCACCCCCTGCAACACTTCTAGAACCTCCCTTGAATCAATTCTGATCCAATGGCCTCCAAGCTGGGTTACTCTCATGACCCCAACCCACCCTCCTCCAGTCAGAACCCCGTTTTTCCTCTGTTCCCAGCTCAGAGAGGGATCCTGGACCCCAGGTTTCCACAGGGTGGTCCCAGTCAGATCAACTTAGAGCCCACCTGAAGAGCTCCCTTTTAGGTCTCTGCTTTCAGAGGCCGTGCACAATGTGCATGACAGAGGCCATTTGACTCCGCCAGTCTGGTCTAAATGAAAGGCCACCCAAGAGGGCCACAGGGCCCTGGAACTGTGCGGCCCTGGAGCGAGAAGTACATGGAGGTGGAGCCAGAGGTCTGGTTTAACTGTCCGTAATTCCAAAGGGATGGCAGCGTGAGGCACATGTGCCAAGCTGCTGGCCTCCACGGCGTTTCGGACTGTAGTTGGAGACTGGGTCTTACTGAATCCCGCTGGCATGGGATTCCCACTAGGTACTGGGAACTAAGCGGGCCCTGTCCGCACAGGCGTGGGATGCCAGCAGTGAGTGAGCAGCCTCGTGTTCCAGGGAAACCACCCTTCCATGTCCAGCACCCTACAGAGAGGCTGGCCCTGCAATTGGCAGTGGTCCTGCCATAAGCACTAAGCTGGCTGTCCTTGCAGTGAGACTAAAGGGAAGGCAAGGTCCCAGGACTCTCGGGAAGGAAGGCAGGCTGCAGGACTGGTTTCGAGCCCGTGGGCTGATGACAGGCACACTGCCTCACCAGCTGTGGGCGGCGACAACGCCCAGTACCTCCCGTCTCTAGAAATTAGGACACTCCCAGGGGCCTTGAAGGGCTTCAGCCAGGAGTCCTCTCTCTCCCCGATGATTTCCCTCTCTTTGCTTAAGCTGGCCTGAGACAGTCCAGGTCCCTGAAACAGGGAAACAGGCTTGGCCTCCTTGCCACTCACTCCTGGGCAGAGGCAACCTTTTCTCCCCAGACCTCCCCCGCTTGCTCACAGCCACCTTCAAAGAGAAACCAGACGCGGTTGGACAGGATGTTGGCCTGGAGCCTCCGCAGAGTGGGCTGGCCCACTGCCAGCACCCAAGAGCAGCTGCTCTGTCCCTCACCCTCCAGAACCAGCGTCCTCTTCACAGCCCTCACAGGTAAAACATGGGCCTGGGCGCGGGGTGGGGGGGAGTGGGGTGGGGCGTGGGTGTACATATAAAAAGGACCCTGCACAATGGAACTGCTTTTTTTTTTTCTTTTAACATTTTTTTAGTTGTTAACAGACCTTTTATTTATTTATATGCAGTGCTGAAAATCAAACCCAGGGCCTCACAGAGCTAGGCAAGCACTCTACCACTGAGCCACAACTCCAGCCCATGGAACTGATTTTAACAGCCTCCAGGAGATAATTCACAAGCAGAAGAATGGGTTCAAAGTGTGTAATTCTGTGTTTCTGGGATGTTCATGCTGCACTGCCATTACCACCATCTAATGTTTGATTACGTTCACCCAAATTAAGCAGCTTCTTTCCTAAAAAGCAGTCCCCCATTCTCCAAATGCTGGGTGACCGAGGTCCACTTCCTGCTTCCATCTCCAGTCCTCTTCCTGTCTCCTGGTGGGTGAACTCACCAGTTCATGTCCTGGGTTGACCTCTGGTCACTTACCATCTCTACTGGTCCACTTTCTGGGTGACCGCCAGTCACTTCCAGTCTCCTCTGATCACTGGTCCAGTACCAAGGGTAACCAGGTCCACTTCCTATCTCCAAGGGTGACACCAGTTCATTTCCCATATCAATGTAGGGGAAACTGGTCCACTTACTGCTTCCACAGGTGACCACTTTCTGTCCCCATGGAGGAAGACTGGTTCACCCCAAGGGTGACCACTGGTCCACTTCTTATCCATACAGGTGACCTCTGGTCTCCTGGATTTCTTTCTCCATGGGTTTGCCATTCTGGACACACTAATGTTTCACTGGTATAGTGTTTTCTTTCTTCCTTTTTTACAAAAATATATTCAGTTGTCAATGAACCTTTATTTATTTATTTATTTGTTTATTTATTTATGTGGTGCTGAGAATCAAACCAGGTGCCTTACGCATTCCAAGCAAGCACTCTACCTCTGAGCCACAAACCCAGCCCTCTTTCTTCCTTTTTTAATTGGTGCATTTTAATTACACAGTAGTGGAATTGGCTGCTAAATATTCGTACATGCATACATTATAACAGTAATTTGGTCAATTTTGTTCCCAGTTCCTCCCTGTGTTAGTCAACTTTTCATGTCCAAAATATCCCACATGAACAACTTAGGAGGGAAAGTTTATTTTAGCTCATGGTTCCAGAGATTAAGTCTATGGTAGGTCGACTTCATTGCTCTGGGCCAAAGGTGAAGCAGGATCATGGTGGAAGGCACAGGGATGGGAAGCTGCTAAATTCATGTTAGCCAGAAAGGGACACACACACACACACATGGGGGGGGGATGCCATGGGGAACTTGAACCCTTCCAGGACATGCCCCCAGGGACCCATCTCCTCCAGCCCTGCCCTACCTGCCTACAGTTACCACCTGTCAGTTCATTCAAACTAGGATGGACTGATTAGCTCTCACAACCAATCATTTCATCTCTTATTCCTGCATCAACACAGGAGCTTTTGAGGGATACTTCATATCCAAACCATAGCACTTCCCTTTCCCTCCCTCCTCCATTCCCCTACTTTATTGGTTTCCCTTCTATTATCATGAGTTCCTCCCCATCTTTCCCCCCCCTTTTTTTTCTTTGTAGCTTCCAGGTGAAAGAAGACATATAACCCTTGACTCTCAGTTTGCCTTACTTCACTTAACAAAAACTAGCAAAAATGTTTTGGACGTTCATTCACATTGCAGCATGCATCAGTAGTTTGTATGGATAAACCACGTTGTGTGTCCACTCATCTGCTGATGGACAGCTGGGTTGTTTCCACAGTCTGACGTATTACTTGTTAATAATGTTGCTGTAACATTGGTGTGCAAGTTGCATAGACCCACCTGGCAATTCTCTTAGGTACACACCTAGAGTGGAATGTTAAATTCTGTTCAACAGGGAGCACCCACTAGCCTGCTTTCCAAAGTGAAGGCATGGTTTGGTGTTCCCACCAGTAGCATGTAAGGACTGCAGTTCCTCCACAGCCCCCTATGCTTATTCCAGCCATAAAGGCATGTGAAATAGGACCTCTCTCATTGGGTGTGGGATTGCATTTTCTTGGTGACTAATGAAGTCGACATCTTTGTGTAGCCATGTATTATTTAAGCACACATTCTGCACCCTGGGCATCTAGGGATTGTTACTGGGCTAGGCTTTGGGGTCACTGTGGTGAGCCAGACAAACACAGCCCTGCTCCCTCATAGCTACAGCTCTGGAGGTACAGCCATGGGAACCAACAGATAACTGCTGAGAACATAGCTCTGGGAGATGGCCCACAAGGTGACCCACCATTCAGAAGTCAGAGGTTCTGAATGAGAGCAGGGGTCATGGGACATCTTCCAGACTTTCCGGGAAAGTAGTGTTGTACATGTGACTGCTGGAACAGGGTGAATTGGTCATAACCATAATTAATTCGGAGATTGGCATCCACAGAAATGGTAGATTCCAGGGGCAACTGACTCCATGGCCCAGGGGTTTGTGCGTGTCCCTCATCAAGAGGCGAGCGTCTTAGTGCATCTACACAGAAGGCAGAAGGGCAGGTGATATGAGTACCAGAAATATAGGATTATTGACTGTCGGTTATGTTAATTATAATATAATGTGGCCCATGATGTAATGTGCAGAACTTAGATTTAAGTTGGTGATGTATGAGTCTACACTCCAGACCTCACCCAGTTACTCATCCGCCCCGATCGAGTTCCAGCAACCCGGATTTAAGACACGTCACAGGTGAGCTTCTGGGACCCTTGGGTGTAGACTTAGTACTTAGAATTGGAATGTGTGTCTGAAGTGTGATGAGCATCAATAAAATAGGTTTGACTGAATCTAACTGCGCCTCAACTAAGTCAATAATAAGCGCTCGTGGCAGCAGGCGGGGTTGCAGTTTCGTGCCAGCCCGCCGGTTCTGGCACAGCCACACCCAACTGCGCGCCTTGCAAAGGCCGGCGCTTAGCCCTGTCTTGCGTCCACTGCGCCGCTGCGAAGACCAACGACCGAGAGCTCTGGCTGCCAGCTCCTCCCCGGCCACTTCCGCCCCTGGCAGAGGAAGGCCCAAGCTGCGCCACAGGAGCTGGTCCGTCCGTCCGCCCCGCGCCCAGGCCTGGCAGCCCGTGCTCTGGCGGACCCCGACGCGCACATGGACGCACGGACCTCCGAGGGTCCCCACGGGGACCCGCTGCGGGACGCGGTGAGTGGTCCCGGCGGCCCGGACTAAGCAGCCAGAACCTGTGCCTCTAGGACGCCCCCGCCCCTTCCTGGAACCCGTGAAAGTCCTGCCCCACCGCTGGAGCCGGGCTGGTTTTTAGAGCCCCGCCCCAGGAGGGGTGACTTTGGACCCTCTGAGTCTTCCGCGTCCCGCCTGCTCTCCTATTTGCCAAAACAGGTTCCAAGCCTGGAAGAGGCAGATAGGTTTACCCTGTTAAAAAGAATTTGCTACATGAACAGACTGCATTTTCCTGACCAAGGTGGACGCCCCTGATTGAAGGAGGCAACTAGAGATAAGGATGGCAGCTCCGCAGTGAGAAGGCAGACTAGGAGTGCTGGTCCAGTGCTTCCACCGCCAACAAATACAGGGGTGAGAGGTCTCAGGTCATAAATTATTTAACGTGCAAACTAGAAAAAGCAGCGCAGAAACGTGAAACGCTAGCTGTAACGATATTCTGCGCAACCTGGCTGATAATACCAACTACAACACCAACGCCACCAGCTGGTGAACACCCGTAGTAAGGAGGATACATGAGCTGTGAATGGCTTCGCCTCCTTGGGGAGCTCTTGAGAGTGACTGAGGCTGCTCCCTGTGCTCCTCCCTAGACTTACATTTCAGCTCTCAGACGGTAGGTGTGTGCTCATTGCGAGTTAACTGTGTAGTGTACAGATGCAGTTTTGCACAGTCATCTCTTTCTGGTGCTTGGCACCTTTGTCAAAAGCCACTGGAGCCCACGTATGCAGCATCTAAACGTTTTGTATTTTCTTTTTATTTCTCTGTAGAGCCAAACAAATGAAAAATAAATCTATTCAAAGATGCAGGGGAAAAAAACACTGGAGCATGTATGATGGATTACTTCATTAATAATAAATGTTGAGTACTTTGTGGTTCCATTTTCCAGGCAGAACATCTACTTCAGGAACTTCAAGAACATTTTCAAGCTCTCACTGCAGCCTTAAACCTGAGAAATATCCTCTTCTGTCTTTGGTAAACACTAATGCTTTTGGACAGGCACATCTCCATTGTCTTCTGCTGTGGACAAATAGTTGTTTATTTGGATTCTCCAGTATTTACACTTGCCCTTCTAAGGGGCTTTTCCTGTGCTGTCAATGCCAGAGGTCTGTGGCAAGTGTGAAGTTCAAGGGCACCACTCTGCTCCTGACCACCTGGACAACCTGGTCTGCAACAGTTAGAGGACGGTGCTCAAGTCCAATAGGAGGCTAGACACTGCTGTGCCTTTGCTTTGTTTTGACTTCCCCGGCTCACTCTTTTATTTCAGAAACACAAATGTTACAAAATTAACACAGAATGTTTCCAATGAGTAAGTTCAGGTAAGGGCAAAAAGTGCATTAAAACTTGCCCAATTTGAGCTCACTTTATTCAACTAAGTGCATTCCTTAAACATTGTGCAAAGTATTTACATTTGGAAGTGCTTACCTGCAGCTTTTGATTTTACCAACAAGGTAAAACATGATAACACGATAAATTAAACCATAGAGTTGTTTTAAAAGTTAAATTTCCATTATATTATGCTCAGAGTTTGGCAGGTTTAAAAGCCAAGTTTCTCACTTCAAGGTTCAAGATACACACTAAAAGGGACTCAGGAGGCAGCAAATTTGCATTGACCCTTCATTTTACAAGTTCCTCTCTGTGGAGAAGGTATGGCCTTGAGGGCGTGTCTGTGGTCACTCTGCACCCCAGACCTACATGTGCAGTTTTCCTTGACGTGGCACTGGAAGACATGGGGAATCGCATAGAGGACTTACAGAAGAATGTGAATGTCCTAATGGAGCAGGCTGGGGTTGGAAATTCCACTGAAGAGCAAACAGTAAGTTCATCATTAGGCAACTGTTTGCCTTTTGCATATCTTTTAATTGCTTTCATCTTGAAAAATACAATCCCATATTTGTTCACTGTGCAAATACTGTTGCTGTATTACTGAAAAACCATTAGAAACAACACATTTCCAAATGCTCTAATCCAGTTATACCAACTGAAACACTCTTTTCCATAATTCCTTAAAAGTGCACATTTTAGATGAAAAATTCCTATTTCAAAGTTGGATTTTATTAGGGTACTTTTCATCCCTACTCCTTAAATTAGTCTTCAGCTAGAACACAAATCACAGTGAACTAGAGACTGGGATTATAACTAGTAGTTCCTGTTTAGATAACTTATCCATGTCACACACTGAAGTCCTATGCACAGAAAGTCCTTAACACATTTCCTGAGTGGCCCACCAGGGCCTGGATCACCCCACAATGGGAACTTTCCCATGCTAATGCAGTCTTGAGGATGCAAACAGATTCCTAGCTCCAGGTCTGAGACCTGGAGTGTAGCTTTATTAAGGTAAGTATGCATATTATCATGACAGTACTCCAACTATGACCATCTTTTCATTGAACAATTTAAAGGCCTTGGTTTACTCACAATTGCTATCCTAAGTCGGATATCAAATTATCCCTTCTTGTCCTGCTAAATTATAGTTGCCTCTGTCAGTGACATTAATTGCAGTGAGTTATTCTAAGCAGAGTCCACACTGATGCCATTGGACTAAAAAGGCCCTTGTATCATTTGTTTTTCTGAGTGCTAAATTTTGCCTACATAACAATGTTGTAATAATTATAAGAAATTAGGGTACTTTATTAAAAACTGTATTCAGATGTATTTACCTGTAAACTGGAATCCAGATCACCTAACTGCTTTCAAATTTTTTCTTACAGACCTGAAGATGTTATTGGACAAGTCCCGTGAAACTAATACAATGAACACTTTGAAGGAGTAATCATCTATGTAATATGGATTCTGATTCTCAGTACTTAATTTTAAGATTATTTATTTTTTTGGGGGGGGGTCCTGGGAATGGAACTCAGGGCCTCAGCATGCTAGGCCCTGAGTTGCACCTCCAGTCTATCAGAATTCTTTTTTTTCCCTTTTAGTTTTAATTGGATGCAATACCTTTATTTTATTTATTTTTATGTGGTGCTGATGATTAAACCCAGTGTCTCACACATGCTAGGCAAGCACTCTACCACTGAGCCACAACATCAGAATTCATTTTAACAAATAAAAAGATTAAAAGAGGGCTGGGGATATGGCTCAAGTGGTAGTGCGCTCGCCTGGCATGCGTGCGGCCCGGGTTCGATCCTCAGCACCACATACAAAGATGTTGTATCCGCAGAAAACTAAAAAAATAATATTAAAAAATTTCTCTTTAAAAAAAAAATTAAAAGAATAAGAAACAAGAATTCAAAAGGTGGTGAACTACTTACCAAGATAACTGCAAACAATGGAGAAATATTTTTTCAGTGCATAATATTCACAAATTATGGAAGAAAAGCATATGCTGTATGAATACATGAATACTTTTTCCAAGTTAAAATTCTACATGGATCTTTTAAGGATCACCAGCAGTTTTCTATCGGGCTTTGCTTTTTTTTTTTTTAAATTAATTTATTTATTCTTGGGCTGGGGATGTGGCTCAAGCGGTAGCATGTTTGCCTGGCATGCGTGCGGCCCGGGTTCGATCCTCAGCACCACATACAAACAAAGATGTTGTGTCCGCTGAAAACTAAAAAATAAAAATATTAAAATTCTCTCTCTCTAAAAAAAAATTATTCTAATTTCTTACATGTAACAGCAGAATGCATTTCAATTCATACTACACATATAGAGCACAATTTTTCATGTCTCTGGTTGTATGCGAAGTAGAGTCACACCACTCATGTCTTCATACATGTACTTGGGGTAATGATGCCCATCTCATTCCATCGTTTTTCTTACCCCCTCTCTTCCCCTCCCCTCTACCCTATCTAAAGTTCCTCCATTCCTCTCATGCCCACCGCCATCCCTATTATGGACCAGCATCCTGATAACAGAGAAAACATTCGGTATTTGGTTTTGGGGGGATTGGCTTACTTCACTTAGCATAATATTCTCCAGCCCCACCCAATTACCTGCAAATGCCATGATTTTATTCTCTTCTAATGCTGAGTAATATACAACTGTGTAAATATACCATAGTTTCTTTACCCATTTATCTACTGAAGGGCATCTAGGTTGATTCCACAATTCAGCCGTTGTGAATTGTATTGCTATAAATATTGATATAGCTGTTTTTAAGTCGTTTGGGTATAAACTGAGGAGGATAGTTGGATCAAATGGTGGTTACATTTCAAGTTTTCCAAGGAATCTTCATACCACTTTCCATATTGGTTGCACCAATTTGCAGTCCCACCAGCAATGTATGAGTGTCTTTTCCCCCACATCCTTGCCAACACTTACTGTTGTTTGTATTCTTAATAGCTGCCATTCTGACTGGAGTGAGATAAAAATCTTAGAGTAGTTTTGATTTGAATTTCTCTAATTACTAGAGATATTGAATATTTTTTAATGTATTTGTTGATTGATTGTATATCATCTTCTGAAAAGTGTCTGTCCAGTTCCTTGGCCCATTTATTGATTTGGTTTGTTTGTTTTGGTGATTAGCTTTTAGAGTTCTTTATATACCCTAGAGATTAGTCCTTTATCTGATGTGCTCCCATTCTGTAGGCTCTCTATTCACCTGATTGTTTCTTGCTTAGATGATGATTTTTAGTTTGAATCCACCCCATTTGGATTCTTGATTTTATTTCTTGCATAATAGGAGTCTTATTAAGGAAGGTGGGGCCTACTTTTTCTTCTATTAGGCACAGGGTCCCTTGTTTAGTTCCTAGGTCCTTGATCCAATTTGAGTTGTTTTTTGTATGGTGATAGGGGCTCAATTTCATTTTGTTGCATATGGATTTCCAGTTTTCCCAGCACCATTTGTTGAAGAGGATATTCTTTCTCCAATATATTTTTGGCGCTTTTGTCTAATATGACTGTATTTATGTGAGTTTGCTTCCGTGTTCTCTATTCTACACCATTGGTCTACAAGTCTATTTTGGTGCCAATACCACACCGTTTTGCTACTGTTGCTCTGTAGTACAGTTTAAGGTTTGGTATAGTGATGCCACCTGCTTCACTCTTCTTGCTTTAGCTATTCTGGGTCTCTTTATTTTTCCAGTGAATTTCATGACTACTTTTACTATTTCTATGAGGAATGTCATTGGGGTGTTAATTGCAATTCCATTAAATCTGTATAGTGCTTTTGGTAGTATGGCTATTTTGACAATATGAATTCTGCCTATCCAAGAACAAGGGAGATATTTCCATCTTCTAAGGTCTTCTTTAATTTCTTCCTTTAGCATTCTGTAATTTTTATTGTAGAGATCTTTCACCTCTTTCAATGATTCCCAAGGTTTTGGTTTCTTGGTTTTGTTTTGAGGCTATTGTAAATGGGATAGTTTTCCTAGTTTCTCTTTCAGAGGATTTGTCACTGATGTACAGAAATGCCTTTGATTTATGGGTGTTGATTTTATATCTTGCTGAATTCATTATTAGTTCTATAAGTTGTCTGGTGGAATTTTCTGGATCTTCTAAGTATAGAATCATATAATCAGTATACAGTGATAATTTGAATTCTTTTCCTACCCGTATCTTTAGTTTCTTTTGTCTAATTGATTGGCTAGAGTTTCAAGAACTATGTTAAATAGTGGTGGTGAAAGAGGGCATCCCTGTCTTGTTCCATTTTTTTTTTAGAGGGAATGCTTTCAATTTTTCTTCATTTAGAATGATGTTGGCCTGGATCTTAGAATAACAGTTTTTACAATGTTGAAATATGTTTCTGTGATTCCTCGTTTTTCTAGTGTTTTGAATGAAGGGGTCCTGTATTTTGTCAAATGCTTTTTCTGCATCTAATGAGATGATCATATGATTCTTATCTTTAAGTCTATTAATGTGATGAATTACATTTGCTGATTTTCATATTGAACCAACCCTGCATCCCTAGGATGAACCCTACTTGATTGTGGTGCACTATCCTTTTGATATGTTTTTGTATTTGCCAGAATTTTATTGAAAAAATTTGCATCTATGTTCATTAGAGATATTGGTCTGAAGGTTTCTTTCTTTGATATGTCTTTGTCTGGTTTTAGAACCAGGGTGATAATGACTTCACAGAATGAGTTTGGAAGTGTTCCCTCTTTTTCTATTTCATGAAATAATTTGAGGAGTATTAGTTCTTCTTTGAAGGTCTTGTAGAACTCAGTTGTGTATCCATCTGGTCCTAGGCTTTTCTTGGTTGGTAGGCTTCTGATGGTGTCTTCTATTTCATTGCTTGAATTGACATGTTTAACTTGTATGTATCATCCTGATTCAGTCTGAGCAAATCATGAGACTAGAAATTTGTCGATAGTTTTTCTATTTTACTGGAGTACAAATTTTCAAAATAATTTCTAATTATATTCTATATTTCTGTAGTGTCTATCATGATATTTCCTTTTTCATCACAGATGTTAGTAATTTGAGTTTTCTCTTTCTTACTCCTGTTATCATGGCTAAGATTTATCAATTTTATTTATTTCTTCAAAGAACCAACTTTTTGTTTTCTCAATTTTTTCAATTTTCTTTTGTCTCAATTTCATTGATTTTAGCTCTGATTTTAATTTTCTATCTTCTACTGCTTTTGGTGTTGATTTGTTGTTTTCTTTCTAGGGCTTGGAGATGCAACATTAGATCATTTGTTTACCGTTTCTTCTTTTAAGGAATGAACTCCATGGGGCTGGGGATGTGGCTCAAGCGGTAGCGCGCTGGCCTGTCATGCGTGCGGCCTGGGCTCGATCCTCAACACCACATACAAACAAAGATGTTGTGTCCGCTGAAAACTAAATATTAAAATTCTCTAAAAAAAAAATAAAATAAAAGGAATGAACTCCATGCAATGAACTTTCCTCTTAGTATTGCCTTCATAGTGTCTCAGGGATTTCAATGTTGTATCAGTGTTCTCATTTACCTCTAAGAATTTTTTTAATCACCTCTTTTGCAACCATTGTTCATTCAATAGCATATTATTTAGTCTACAGGTGTTGAAGTAGCGTCTATTTTTAATTTAATCATTGACTTCTAAATTTCATTCCATTATGATCTGATAGAATTCAGGGTATCTATTTTTTTTTGTATTTGCTAAGTTGCTTTATGACATAATATATGGTCTATTTTAGAGAAGGATCCATGTGCTGAAAGTGATTTCAGTCATTCATGGATAAAATATTCTATCTATGTAAGTTATTGATTGTATTATTGAATTCTATAATTTCTTTGTTTAGCTTTTGTTCAGAAGATTTATCTAGTAGTGAAAGAGGTTTGTTAAAATCATCAAAATTATTGTGTTGTGGTCTACTCGACTCTTGAACTTGAAATGTGTTTGTTTGAGGACTGTAGATGCTACATGGTTTGGGGCATATATAATTGTTATATCTTATTGATGTATGGTTCCCTTAAACAGTATGAAATATCCTTCTTTATCCCCTGTGATTAACTTTGGCTTGAAGTCTACTCTATTTGATATGAGGACGGAAACCTTGCTTGTTTCTGCAGTCCATGTAAGTAGTATGTTTTGTTTTTTTTTCCCCAACCTTTCACCTTCAGTCTGTGGATGTCTTTTCCTATGAGATGACAGCATATTGTTAGGTTTTTTTTTTTTAAACCCAATCTGCCAGTCTAGCTTTTCGATTGTCATTGTAGGCCATTGACATTCAGGGTTGTGCTCTATGTGTAATATGAAATGAATTGCCTTCTGCATGTGTAACAAAAATTAGAATAAATAATTTTTAAAAAATATTCAGGATTATTATTGAGACATGATTTGTATTCCTAGTCATGTTTATTTTTGGTATTTAACTTAACTTGGTTTCTACTTTGATTAGTATATCCTTTAGTGTAACACTTCCCTTTGCTGATTTTCATTGTTATTTCCTCCTCATGGAATATTTTGCTGAAGACGCTTTCTAGTCATAAATTCTTTTATCATGGAAGGTTTTTATTTTATCATCAAATCTATAGCATAATTTTGCTGGATATGATTCTTGGTTGGCATCCATTTTCTTTCAGAGCTTGGTATATGTTGTTCCAGGATCTTCCAGCTTTCAGGGTCTGGGTTGAAAAATCTGCAGAGCTACTAATTGTTTTCCCCCTATATGCAATCTGATTCCTTTTTCTTGTGGCTTCTAAAATTCTCTCCTTATTCTGTATGCTGGGCATTTTCAATATAATGTGCCTTGGTGTGGATCTCTTTTGTGATTTTGTGTATTTGGTGTCCTATAAGCCTCTTGTATTTGATTTTCTAATTCATTCTTCATGTTTGGAAAATTTTCTGATATTTAATTGAAGAGATTATTCATTCCTTTGGTTTGGAATTCTATGCCTTCCTCTATCCCAGTAATTTATTTTTTTTTCTGAGCGAGAGAGAGAAAATTTTAATATTTATTTTTTTAGTTATCGGCAGACACAACATCTTTGTTTGTATGTGGTACTGAGGATCGAACCTGGGCTGCACGCATGCCAGGCGAGCGCACCACCGCTTGAGCCACATCCCCAGCCCTATCCCAGTAATTCTTAAATTTGGTCTTTTTATGTTATCCCATAATCCTTCAATATTCTGCTCTTGGTTTCTTACCATCTTCACTGTGTGGCAACATTCTTTTCAAGATTATATATTTTGTCTTCATTGTGTGAG